CCATGCAACTTCCATCATCATCATATACATGACTTGAGCATCATTGTCATATTGCTTTGCATGATCGTAAGATATCTAGCATGATGTTTTCATGGCTTATCCGTTTTTTGATGTCATTGCTACGCTAGATCGTTGCACATCCCGGTACACCGCCGGAGGCATTCATATAGAGTCATATCTTTGTTCTAGTATCGAGTTGTAATATTGAGTTGTAAGTAAATAAAAGTGTGATGATCATCATTATTAGAGCATTGCCCCAGTGAGGAAAGGATGATGGAGACTATGATTCCCCCACAAGTCGGGATGAGACTCCGGACGAAGAAAATATAAAAAAATATAAAAATATATTAAAAATAGAAAAGGCCAAAAAAAAGAGAAGGCCCAAAAAAATAGAAAAAAACAAAAAATGAGAGAAAAAGAGAGAAGGGGCAATGTTACTATCCTTTTACCACACTTGTACTTCAGAGTAGCACCATGTTCTTCATATAGAGAGTCTCTTGAGTTATCACTTTCATATACTAGTGGGAATTTTCATTATAGAACTTGGCTTGTATATTCCAACGATGGGCTTCCTCAAATGCCCTAGGTCTTCATGAGCAAGCAAGTTGGATGCACACCCACTTAGTTTCAGTTGAGCTTTCATATACTTATAGCTCTAGTGCATCTGTTGCATGGCAATCCCTACTCCTCACATTAATATCAATTGATGGGCATCTCCATAGCCCGTTGATTAGCCGCGTTGATGTGAGACTTTCTCCCCTTTTGTCTTCTCCACACAACCTCCACCATCATATTCTATTCCACCTATAGTGCTATGTCCATGGCTCACGCTCATGTATTGCGTGAGGGTTGAAAAAGCTGAAGCACGTTAAAAAGTATGAACCAATTGCTCGGCTTGTCATCGGGGTTGTGCATGATGTGAATATTTTGTGTAAAGAAGATGGAGCATAGCCAGACTATATGATTTTGTAGGGATAACTTTCTTTCTTTGGCCTTGTTATATTGAAAAGACATGATTGCTTTATTAGTAGGCTTGAAGTATTATTGTTTTTATGTCAAATGATAGACTATTGCTTTGAATCACTTGTGTCTTAATATTCATGCCATGCTTAGACATATGATCAAGATTATGCTAGGTAGCATTCCACATCAAAAATTATCTTTTTTTATCATTTACCTACTCGAGGACGAGCAGGAATTAAGCTTTGGGATGCTGATACATCTCCGTCATATCTATAATTTTTTATTGTTCCATGCCAATATTCTACAACTTTCATATACTTTTGGCAACTTTTTATACTATTTTTGGGACTAACATATTGATCCAGTGCCCAGTGCCAGTTCCTGTTTGTTGCATGTTTTTGTTTCGCAGAATATCCATATCAAACGGAGTCCAAACGGGATAAAACTTGACGGAGATTTTTTTGGAATATATATGATTTTTAGGAAGAAAAATCCATGCGAGATGGTGCCCGAGGTGGCCACGAGGCAGGGGGCGCGCCTGCCACCCCCCCAGGCGCGCCCCTGACCCTCGTGGCCACCCCTTAAGACGGTTGATGCCCTTCTTTCGCCGCAAGAAATCTAATATCCGGATAGAGATCGTGTCCACAATTCAGCCCAATCGGAGTTACGGATCTCCGGGAATATAAGAAACGGTGAAAGGGTAGAATCTGAGAACGCAGAAACATAGAGAGACAGAGAGACAGATCCAATCTCGGAGGGGCTCTCACCCCTCCCACGCCATGGAGGCCAAGGACCAGAGGGGAAACCCTTCTCCCATCTAGGGAGGAGGTCAAGGAAGAATAAGAAGAAGGGGGGCCTCTCCCCCTTGCTTCCGGTGGCGCCGAAGTGCCACCGGGGGCCATCATCATCACCGTCATCTTCACCAACAACTTCACCGCCTTCACCACCAACTCTTCACCCCCCCTCTATGCAGCGGTGTAACCTCTCTCTTACCCGCTGTAATCTCTACTTAAACATGATGCTCAACGCTATATATTATTTCCCTATGATGTATGGCTATCCTATGATGTTTGAGTAGATCTGTTTTTTCCTAATGGCTATTTGATGATCAAGATTGGTTTGAGTTGCATGTTTTATTATTGGTGCTATCCTATGGTGCTCTCCGTGTCGCGCAAGCGTGAGGGGTTCCCGCTGTAGGGTTTGCAATATGTTCATGATTTGCTTGTGGTGGGTGGCGTGAGTGACAGAAGCATAGACCCGAGTAAGTAGGTTGTTTGCATATGGGATAAAGGGGACTTGATGCTTTAATGCTATGGTTGGGTTTTACCTTAATGAATCTTTAGTAGTTGCGGATGCTTGCTAGAGTTCCAATCATAAGTGCATATGATCCAAGTAGAGAAAGTATGTTAGCTTATGCCTCTCCCTCGTATAAAATTGCAATAATGATTACCGGTCTAGTTATCGATTGCCTAGGGACAAATAACTTTCTCTTGACAACAAGCTCTCTACTAAAACTAATTTAGTTGTGTCTTTACCTAAACAGCCCCTAATTTTTATTTACGTAATCTTTATTATCTTGCAAACCTATCCAAAAACACTTACAAAGTACTTCTAGTTTCATACTTGTTTTAGGTAAAGCAAACATCAAGCGTGCGTAGAGTTGTATCGGTGGTCGATAGAACTTGAGGGAATATTTGTTCTACCTTTAGCTCCTCGTTCGTTTTGACATTCTTACTTATCGAAAACTGTTGCGATCCCCTATACTTGTGGGTTATCACTTGGGTCTTCCAGTGCCTGAAGGGAGAATGCATAAAGGGCAATTTGAAACTATTCAGGAAAGATTAAGGAAAAGGCTTGTGGATTGGAGTGAGCAGTATGTGTCTTCGGGCAACAAAGAAATCTTGATAAAGGCAGTGGCACAAGCAATCCCAACTTATGTGATGAGTGTGTTTCGTCTACCGGCGTCTGTTTGTGATGAGTTAACTAGAATGATGAGACAATACTGGTGGGGGTGGAGAAAGGCAAAAGGAAGATGGCTTGGCTCAGCTGGGAGAAAATGGCATTACCCAAGTCTATGGGGGGGCATGGGGTTTAAGGATATGAGAGCGTTCAACCAAGCTTTGCTTGCTAAGCAAGCTTGGCGCCTATTGGACAGCCCGGATAGTTTGTGTGCTAGATTACTACGGGCTAAGTATTATCCTCATGGTAATTTGCTTGATACAGTGTTTCCCGCGAGCTCTTCCGCGGTGTGGAAGGGGATAGTCCATGGACTGGACCTATTGAAAAAAGGCATAATTTGGCGTGTGGGTGATGGTACCTTAGTCAAGACATGGCGAGATCCTTGGATCCCAAGGGGAAATGATTTTCGGCCAGTAACACCAAAGCGCAATTGTAGATTCAATTGGGTGGCCGATTTTATTGATGAACATGGGGCATGGAATGTGCAAAGGCTGCGAGAACACTTCTGGGACCTAGACGTGCGAGAAATCTTAAAGATAAGAACATCACCGAGAAGCGGCCAGGATTTCCTTGCGTGGTTTCCGGAGAAAAGTGGTATGTTTACAGTTCGGTCGGCGTATCGACTTGCTCATGAGACTTCACTCAATCTTGGCGAGTCAGGCAACAGCCCGAATGCCAGAGGTCTGTATGGCAAAGAATATGGGGGGCCAAGGTGCCCCTCAAGATGAGGATTATGGCCTGGAAAGTGGTGTCTGGAGCTCTCCCAACTAATGGTTGCAAGAAATATAGACATATCTCTACTAGAGATAGCTGTCCTCTATGCGGAAGGGAGAAAGAGACTAGTTTTCATGCTCTGGTGACATGCACTCATGCCCGCCAAGTGTGGACCCATATGCGTACAGTATGGAGGCTACCGGATCAAGAGCTCCTTTGGGATACTGGGCAAGAGTGGCTGCTAAATGTCCTGGCAAACTGCGATGACATGATGCGGGATTCCATGATTATGATGCTATGGAGGATATGGAATTTGCGGTCTGACGGGGCGCATGGGAAGGAAGTTCCACCGGTGGGAGCGACTGTGACTTACCTCCAGAGCTACATGCAATCACTAGATTTGGCCAAGAGGTATACAACAAAGGATATCATAAAAGGGAAGATGCCGGTGAGACATGAGCGGCCAGCCGTGCAGAAAGAAGCCTGCTCGCCGTGGCCACGACCAAGTGTTGATCAGGCGGCACTGTCGGTTGATGGGTCCTTCTCTTCTATAGATGGTTCGGCGGCGGCCAGAATGGTTTTGCGCCGGCATGATGGGAGTGTCATCTTTGCGGCATACCGATGCATTTTCAACTGCAATGAGGCAGTGGAGGCGGAGCTACATGCAATAATGCAGGGTATGGCGTTAGCTATTCAACATTGCACCTTACTTATCGCCGTTTCAGTCGGACTCCTCGGTGGCACTGGCCGCTTTGACAGGAGAGCATCTCACCAGGTCGGCCTATGAACATCTGGTAGCGGAAATACGTCATCTCATGGCTGATAGAGTTTTTATTCCTTCAAAAATTAAACATGAGCAAAATAGGGTAGCAGATCGGTCGGCTTTGTATAGTCGTACGGAAAGTACTACTGGTGCATGACTAGCAAGAGGACCACCTTGTGTTGAGGATTTATTGCCTCTCGATTGTAACCCTATCCGTTTGGAATAAAAACCTTTCTCCATCGCAAAAAAAAAGCCTGCCGATTTTGCATATGTGGTTTTATTCTGCTTTTGCGCTTGTGCTGGTGCTGGTTTTGGACTGCACTTTTCCCCCGAGGTGTTGGATGGATTTCTCTTTCGAATACCTTTTTTTCGAAGACAATCTTTGGAATACCTCTGACTCGGGGAAACCAAACACAAAACGGCCCAACCCCCAGACCAATCGGACCTCACGCACCTCGAGGACAAAAGTACCGACGCACAGTATATATACTCCCGAAAAGAAAAGAACGCACACCCAACCCAGCTCAACCGGACCGCACCATCCGCATCGAGGACGAAGCCGCCTCACGTAGCTCTTGATCCCCGGATTGTCGAAGAGCACATGGCTTCTTTTGTGCTCCGATCCGCCGGCCGCTTGCTCCGGCGACCTGTCTCCGATTTTGTTGGGAAGATCCGACCCAACAAGGTATACCCTCTTCCCCTTTCCCTCTAGGGTTTCGTTGATATGCCAAATTGATAATCAGCTAATCGCCTGACCATTAGTTAGCTAGTACATATCATGTTCTTCGAGCCTCAGTAAGTTTCCTGTGTTTGAGCTTTTGCATATTGATTCACGTGATTCGCAGAGGCCAGCCCCGCGTCAGATTTTTGGGCAATGCCAAATCGAACGTTTTTTTCATGGTAACCTGTGTTTGCGGTGGATGACAGATTTAGTTTGCGAGCATGGCAAATCTGTTGCAGTTCATTTTTTTCAGGAAATTGCCGTGCTTGCAAATTAAATTTGCCATCGTCATACCAATATAAATTGACATGAAAAACGTTTGATCTGCCATCAGATTTTTAGCATCTCTGTTTTTTACTTTTATTTGACCTGTATCAGACATAATGCCATGATCAGATATACCCAGACTGAGATGTAAATTCGTGAGACGATGAATTACAAAAATAATATCGTTTTTTATCTCCAGCATTCTTGCTCAAAATTCAGTACGGTACACGGAAAACATATCAAGGAAGAACCCATCAGGACCGGCCCGAGCATTATGATGAAATTGGATGAGCGCGACTGTATCCTGTGTGAAGCTCACAAAGACATTAAAGTATTGCTAAAACAAGCAAGGGATAATGAAGCATGGTAAGCAACCAGTTCATTGTTCTCAATTCATATATATGTATGCACACATGTATTCTGTGGTTGTATTATTCTTATTATGGTATGTTTTAACCTGCAGGGACAAGCTACTGAAAAAATTGTTATTACCTTCATCCATTCTTGCCGCCCTTGCCTTTTGGAAGACAGGACAGGAAATGCCTGTGGAAAATATACCTCCAAATTAATGCATATATTAATGTGGCATTGGTGTTATGACTTTTACTTTTTGCTTGTACTGAACCATGTCATGGACCTGAGTTGTGAATGTGTTGTGTTGGAAACTAGGCTGTGGGAGTGTTGAAATACTAACTGTAATGTAATCAAGTCTTTGTTCTTGGCTACCTCTTTGATAACCCGCTTTTCAGACTTTTTACTGAAGGAGAAGATGTACATGGATTCCCATCATGTTTCTCAACACCTAGCGAGGATTTTTTTTCCAAAACGGAGGCAAAAGATTTGCCTCATCAATTAATTAAGCAGAAGAGAATTGCCCAGTTAATTAACGGAAAACCAGGCAAAAACCGATACAGACCAACTACAGGTGGACTACTCACAGAGTGACCACCATACCCAACACCTAACGTCCACCAACCCGCACACTGTTACAACATGAAGACACCCCAACGAGAGTAACTCTGCCGAAAACCACGGGCACCACCAAATCCACGAAGACAAGCCAGACCATAAGGACAACCCAAGAGACTGGTAACCATCCATCAAGCAGCTGCGGAAGCCTTTCTTGTGGCGTCACTCTTCTTTCCTTTGCTCCTGAGAGCCTCCTCCACAATCGCCTTGCCAGATCCAGGGCTCACCCTCTCCAAACGTTTGAGCAAGCTGTGAAGCTCTATTTCGAAGAGAATCTCATTGAACTTGTCACGCACAGAAACCTGCCCAATGGTCACATGCGAGTGGGTGATTGCAACATCGGAACCTCCACGCTCAACAGAGGCGAGTGACTGGTTGGGCTCCGAAGGATCAGGCGCCAACGCACCAACCGCCTCAACATCATCAGTCACGGGTACCACTGGCACGATGGACTCAGGCGTCTCCAGTTGTTCACATGAAAGAGCCTCAGAGTTAGGTGCCAACACACCTATCTCATCAACCTCGCCACTCAAAGACGCCACATGCACAATGGCCATAGATGAGGCATTGACAGAACCAACCAAGTCTCCACAACCCGGAATGGCGGGCCACTGATAGGACTCTGACGGTGGTAGTGAAGGTGGCATGGCCACCACCAAGGACTCCAATGCGCTCAACTCCATCGGTAACACCATAGATGATTCCCCACAAAGCTCCTGCAACTCAGGCATAATCTGCAGAACTGGAGCTACGACCTCCATGATAACTGCATTCCCACGAACAAGCGGCGTCACATGCAAAGCACGAGGAGAAAAATCTCCAAAGCAACATTCAGCATCCTCATCAATGGAACCAACCTGGAGCTCAGGCAGCAAAGGCACAACCGATGCAACCTCAAACTTGGCTAGAGCGTCGCGAAGCTCAATGTGGAGCAGCTCAACCTCCTGAAGGAGCTCCGTGCGCAGCAGGGCAAGCTGCGACTCCAAAGCAGACACCAAAGAGGTGCAGACATTGGAATCCTTGCAACACCCAGATTGAGACCTTGGCGGCACCGACACACACAACGACGAGTGGCCCACAACCTCAACCCAACTCCTGGCCAGCGAAGGACAAGGCTGGATGGGCGGGGAGCGGCTCCGCTGACGAGGAGCACATGTGACCGGAGAGCCACCGCGAGCGACCGGAGAGCGGTCGTGAGCAACCGGAGAGCGAGCACGACAGAACCTCTCCCGATGACCAGGGCGACGACAGCGAATGCATCTGAATGGATCACGGCATGCACTGACTTGGTGGCCACGCTCGAGGCAACGAAAGCACCTTCCTCGAGCCCAACGCTTGAAGGCGAGGCTACGCTCGAGACCTTCCCTCGACGGCTCGGGGGGAGCTCGTCGGCCGGAACGTCGCCCCCGACCCACATGCACCCAGCCCGCCCCGGCTACAATAGCGGCGGTGGCAGTAGAGAGGCCGTTGCATGCCGACACTAAAGATGGACCAAGCAGAGAAGAGCCCAACTTCTCTGGAGCCTCTGCCAGAGCATTGGAAGCTCCCTGCACTCCTGTTGCCACATCTGTCACAAGCGCCGACACGACCGGCATCGAAGGCAGCAACAGCGTTTGAGGAGCCAGCCCCCCATCCACCTGGGCAGGGGCACGCAGCTGCCCGTAGGAGGGGCGCAGCAGAGCTTCTGTTTCCAGGTCCGTATGAACAGGGACTGGCGATGAGGGCGGCAGCAGCAAGCCGGCGGAGGCGCCCGCAGAGGGAACCGCGGCCAGGGCAGCAAGGGCGGCGGCCGGTGGTGCCGGAGTGGCCGCCGTCGGTGCCACAGCAGCAGTCGGGGTTGACGGCGCGGCGCTGGCAGGAGCAGCGTCAGCACAGGCCGGGGACGGAAGACACCCAAGCCCTCCATCCAGCAGGCCAGGGGCACGATCTGGAGCAGTATGCGCGACGTCTAGGGCGGACAATGCGGCGACGCCGGCCGGACGGGGGCTCAGCAGGGAGCGCAAGCTGGAAGGCGCCGTCGGAGATGCTGCCACATCCGGCCTCGGCGGGAGTCCGGCACGGGACAGACGGCCACCAGCTGCCGGGGCGGTCCTGCGGGCGGCAGCAGCAGCCGAGGCGGCCGACGGAGCCGGAGACGACGACGCGGACGCGTGGGCCATGGGCAGCTCAGCGAGAGCCTGGAGGGGTGAAGGAGTGCATCTGAGAGAGGAGGCGAAGAGTATCCCGGATCTGGTCACGCCGGCTGGAATGGTGGCCGGTGGAAGGAGATCAATGGGGCGCCGCCGCCGGCGGGCGCGGGGTCGCAGGAGCCATCGAGACTCGACCAGCCTTTTTCGTTTGTGTGTGTGTCCTCTTAGATTTTGGGGGATATTTCAAGAATACGTACTTGGACAGCAAAGGAGAGCCGTAGAACAAGTGCCGCACAAACGTCTGAAAAATAGCTGGCGACAATGCTGCTCCTTTTCTAGTATCCACATGATAAGTGCTTACTGCTCAGCCTAAAAACCGCTTGGTAAGTGCTGGGCAGTGGCAAAAGTTGTTATCTTAAGGAGACCGTGACTGATTATTATTACTAGAAATTAAGATTACGCAACTCAGAATTAGACCGGTGATGTGCTGAATGCATCAGGTTGCCTTTTTTTAGAACTAAGTGAGACTAAACAACCCATCCCACTTAAATTGCTTTAGCGTTTTTTTTTGGAGAAACTAAAATCGCTATAGTGAGCAGCCGTTAGAGAATAATAAAAATAAATCAAGTGGGCTAGCCCATCCCTGATACGTTCTCGTGCACAAATGAGTAGAAGGCGGCGGGACCTCCTAATTCCCGCATAGGGCGATGGAGGCCGAGCAAACGCGGCCCGTCTATGTCTTCCTTCAGGCGAGATAGTAGACCACGTCGCCAACAGGGAACCGGTCGCGATCCGCCTCACTGCCATGTCGTCCGTCATGCTGATGTTCCATGGTTTTTTTTGTATTATTATAATTACTATATTATGAAAACTAATTTTTTTTTATTTTTTAAAAGTGTTAATCACACATTATTAAAATGTAAATGCAGTGTAAATAATGTTCACTCAACTTTTAGAAAAAAACTCATAGCATTAAAAAAACAATGTGACATTTACAAACATACTCACGCATTTCAAAAAATATACGTGCAATTTTGAAAAATGTAGTATAATGTAAAAAACATTCGTGTAATTCAAGAAAAAGGTTGTGTAGCATTCAGAAAATGGTATGTTACATTAAGAAAAATGCTCACATGTTTAAAAAAACATTAGTGACATTTAAAATATATCTAACCAAAGTAAAAAAATGTTTGCATAGTTCAAAAAAATTGTTTATTATCATACAAAAAAATGATTCAACATGTATTTCAAAAAGGTTTAACATGGATTAAAAAATGGTTCAAAACCCTCCGTTCCAAAACATTTTTCCTGGTTTTAGTTCAACTCTGAACTAAAACTATGACAAGTATTTTGGAACGAGGGAATATATGAAAAACATATTAGTCATGTATTTAAAAATGTTAAATGCATATTAAAAATGACCCTCTATTCCAGAATATTTTCGTGCATTTAGTTCAAATCAGAACTAAAACTACGACAAGTATTTTGGAACGGAGAAAATATTTGAAAAACATACTAGTCATGTATTTAAAAATATTAAATATATATTAAAAATTTATATCTAGACAAAAAATGTACAATGTATATGAAAAATATATAGACATTAAAACATGTATTTGAATAAAAAATGTTAATGTGTATAGAAAACAATTCTGGTGTATAGAAAGATTGTACAATGTGTATGAAAACTACAAACATGTGTTGAAAAAAGGAGAAAAAAAATAAAACTCCAATGAAACACAAAGAAAAGAGACAAAAAATAAGAAAAACCGGATACAGAACCGCTCCTCAAACACGTTCCCTTAATGGGCTGGCCCACAACCGGTGGTAGCAGAGAAGAGACATAAATCAGGGAATATCCTATTCGACGCATTTTGCATCGAACAGTCGAGGTTTCGCATAGAGCTAGCGATCGATCTGTAACATGGGACGGCCCATTAGCGGCTTCCAGCGTTTCCGGTTTTGCGAACCTTCTAAACTTTCGCAGCCGGTTTTTCTTGTTTTTGGAACCTTCTAGAAGGTTCCCTGATCCGGTTTTCTTGTTTCCCTTTGGTTTTTTCTTTTTTTTCGTTTTTCTGTTTATTTTTTTCTTTTCTGTTCCTTTTTTATTTGTCAAGTTTATTTTTTTAAAGATTATGGTTCAAAAATTGTTCGAAAACTTAAAAAACTTCATTCTTTTAAAAATATTAATTTTTTTAAGAAATATTCGTGTTTTCTTAAATTGTTCATATATTGAAATAATGTTCGCATTTTTACAAAATTATTTGTGTATTCAAAAAATATTCGCACTTTTTGAAAAATGTTCAGGAATTTCAAAAAATGTTCCCTTTTTTCGAAAATCGTTCAGAATGTTTTTGCTCATTTTTTAGAACATTTAAATAATGGTCGTGATTTCAAAAAATGTTCCTGTTTTCCAAATTTTTGTTCACAAATTTTCTAAAATGTTCTCGTTTTCAAATTTTTGTTCATGT